TTCTCTTTTACTACATAAGTTGAAGGCGAAAGAGGGATATACTAATGTTGTTGAAACCATGCTAGATAAGTTTAAAAAATATTTCTTCCCAATTCCCCCTATTTACCTAATTGGTGCTATTTTAAACCCTACTATCAAAATGATAAAGTGTCGCCAATTAATCAGTGCTTTATATACTTATATGGATATTGGACCAACTGAAACTCCTGATACTGAGACTTGTATTTCTGATCTGCACAAATATTTACAAATTTTGTATAATTATTATGCTAACATTGTTGATGCTTCTTCGGTTGTAGATGCAAATATTCCTTCAAGTAATACTTCAACATCTGGAACAAATTTGGAAGATGATGATAATGTTCAAGATTATTTGATTTGGTCTACACTAGGAGAGCATCAACAAACCAGTAGCCGGAATATTGATGAACTCCAATTCTACTTGCAAAAGTCACCGGATCCCCTCACAAATGATTTTTTACCTCTGAGTTGGTGGAAGAGCAACGCAAATCAGTTTCCTGTTCTTTCGGCCATGGCTCGAGACGTTCTAAATGTGCCTATTTCAACAGTCGCATCAGAGAGCGCATTTAGCCAAGCAAGACAGCAACTAGGAGATACCCATCATTCATTGGGCAACAACGCTTTGGAAGTTCTAGTGTGCTTCAGAGATTGGATTAAATCAGAACGACGAAATCAAGGGCGCGACGAGGTAGATGAAGAAGAAGACCAAGAAATTGGAGATATAATGGTTTATGGTACCGATTATAATACCGGAAACCAAGCACCTCACATTGACATGGAAGAGCTTACAAAGATGAGCAAAACATTTGATTTACTATTACTTCTTTTTGTTTTAACAATTGTTGTAAATTTTTTAATTTGCAAGTTCAAATATTTAAAAAATAAAAAAAGAACTTGCAAATTAATTAGAAGTACTATATATTATTCAATAAAAATATCAAAGTTACTTAAATATTGTGAATTTTTTATATTGCATAATGTCTTATACTCTTATTCAATATTTTTTATATAGACTTATGCATTTATGTTAATATGTTTTATGTTTTAGACTTTTAGTTTG